TGAGGGGGAGGCAGTGTGGCGTCGGATTAGGGCGCAGACATGTTGGACCACCTGGCCTCAGCCAATCCTGTGTCTCTCTGAGTTCCAATGGCATGCGAGGAAGGTAAGCAGCCAACCAGAGAAGGACACGAATGAGGTGCAATATATAATGAGGGGCGTGGCCAGTGTCGAGGACTCGGATGAAATGCGCTCGACGTGTGGCTCTGGCTTGTGATTTGTCAATAAAGCCCGTTCTGTTGTACCGGTATTTTTCCGATTAGGGCTCGGGTATTCTATAGTGGTGGCAGCGGATGCGTTCAAAAAACGCGAATCGAACCCCAGCCCTTTCTCGTCTATGGTCAACAGAGGCGAAGACCCTTGACTGCCAGCTGAAATTGTCATGGCGGTCATCCGATGTCCCACACATTGGATCCATAGACATTGCCTGGGATTAGGACTACTGCATCTGAAGAGGCATTGGCAACTCAGCGACGACGACTTGGACAGTGGAAGCCAGCTGGACTGCAACTGCAAATGGACCTCCGATGGATAAAGAGTCCTTCCTGCAAGTCTACAAGAACAAAGTCCCTCGTCTACTATTCGCTTGGGTTACTATCCTGCCAGATGTGGTGTGCGAAGAGTGTCGAATTGGATATTTTTTCAATCATCTTAAAATGGCGTGGAACCAAGTTAGAAGCTGAGGAGAACTTCACTCCTGAGGGGATGTAGTTCATGACGGATCAGGGCGCAGACATATTGGACCACGCTGACCTCAGCCAAATCTGTGTCTCTGCGTTCCAATGGCATGCGAGGAAGATAGGCAGCCAACCAGGGAAAGACACGAATGAGGACCAGTATGGATGGACTCGGATGAACTGCGTCTGACTTGGAGTTCTGAGTTGTGGTTGGTCAATGAATCCCGTTCTGTTGTAACAGTCTTATTCATGCTAGTGTTTGGGTATTCAACAGGTACTGTAGCGTGGCAGATCGCCGCCATCTTGGCGACCAGTCATTGGTCGAAGTTAATCAGCACGTCGTGTAGTCGATGTCACGTGACAGGAGGTGCTAGTTCCGGCTGCGTGGCTGCACGCAGTCATTGAATGACGCACCGGGCACTGAGAGCCAATCCGCTCACGAGTTTTCCGTCTTCATTGCAGCGACGCGGAACGGACCAGCCAGAGAACAGGAAGAACAGGACAAGGATATATAAAGCCCTTGTTTTCCCCTCAAACGGCCTGATCAGACAGTGGCCGTTTCTGTCTCAATAAAGTGCTCGTTTTTTCTCATCCTTATCTTTATAATGGGACCGAAACCTACAGTATTCTACTATTCTTTAAGTAACTCCATGGGTTGAATGGGTTTTTTCATGATAACTCTAAACATAAAATTCTTCCAGTTGTGGTACACAATTCTATATGAATGCCAATAACTTTTACTATTGAAAAAATGGCATCAGTTTTTCCGATGTCATCTGTTGTTCTTCCTGTTGACTCGTGCAACACTAATACAACAACAAAGCTCTGATGATTATAGTTGAACCCTAATTTAGCGCTCATAATAACCCTAAAACCAATAACCTCTAGTCTGATATATCAAATCTTACTCTATTTCATCCGATTTGCTTCTGAAGTGCAGGCGATGCCAAAATTAATTTACACGCAATTGTTTTCTTAGTTTTCACTTGTACAATATTTAAAAGGATTAAATAGTGGCTTTAGTAATTATAATTCTGCATATCCGGGCCTGTTCTAGTTACTGTGACAAAATATTACAAATTGACAATAATAAATCCATTATTTTGTTTCGAATTTTAAAAATTTAAGAGATTGTGGACGAGTTCTGCCAAGACAAATACATCAATAGACGCCTTTCTCATCCTACATGAACAATTCTCAGGTTTGGAGTTATAATATAGATGGCATCTTGAATTTTTGTTAACAGTTGCCCACATTAAATTTCTGGAACTTATTTTAAATACTCATGGTGCATTCATCTCATGATTGCTGCACACACCATCGGTTTTACTCACAAATGGAACATTTAAAAGTGTAATTGGCCACTAGATATGCTTATTAAAACCAAGTACTAAAGAACTGCTTTATTCAAATGAATTTTGTTGTCCTCGTTAGCGCTTTGCTTTTTTGGGTTAGAAGTGAAGATTTCCTTATATTGGCATGTAAGTGACTACCACAAATTCGATTATCGAAGATATGGTTTATTCAAGTAAAGCTAATAATTTTGTCTAAGAAAACGCGGATGCTTGTATTTTTTTATAGGAAAAAGGGGAATAGTATAATCGGCCGTTAATAGCAATCTTGCTATTTAATTTTCTAAAAAGGGCTTAAAACGTATATTCGCCACTGCATATATCTTATACCTAATAATAATATTATTTAATGATGTCAGCCCCAAACCATTTTTATTGCCGTAAAACAATTATCCTTTGCTGCCTGTTATTTTTTTGTAACTCGAGAAAAAGGTAATAAATACGTTTACTATTTAACGGTGAATATTTTAATTTGCATATTTGAATTTCGTGAGGAAGCTTTACCCAACTATAGTTGGTAGGGATTATTTGCTGAGGCCTCATGCAAGACATCGTCTGCGTGTCAAAAGCTCCTAGAAAACCAGATACGTTAGTTGAATAATCACTTAGCAAGATTTTACCCTTCAACTTATGTTTTTATCAGCAACCTAGGGCACTTGATTTCAGCACCCTCAAAGCCCCAACACCACCACGCCTCTTGACCGACTGCTTGCTAGGACTACGCTAAATATTCTCATTGGTCAATCACATCCATTTAAGTGCAAATCTGCCAAATCACAGACAGCGGATCCAATGGAAAATGATTTTTTCGCATGCCTTACGTTATTCGCTGTTTAATCCACGGAACAACGGATGGTGGGACCTTGGCAACACTCATTGCCTTCCTGAGAAGGGCGAATAAAAGCAGACAAACTTTATCATAAACCATTGGCCATGCCCAGAATTTGACTTAAGAAAACTCGACCGCTTTCTACAAGGATTTCTACACTATTAAAGTATCAGACTCCACCTTAACCAAACTGTCAAGAGGTTTTATTTAAGGCACCTTTCTTGATGTCGTATTGGGATGTTCAAGTGCAAAAGCACCATGCTTCACCTAATCCAAACTGGAATCCGAACTGACCACGCTAGAAGCATCGCCTAGTAAATATCCTAGAGGCAAGTTAGCTAGCCACCGTGTTTAAGGAAATCCTACCTGTAAATGTCTCCTAAGTTTCATTTACTCACTTTGTGCCATTCCAGTTCTCTGTGTTTAAATAAAGTCTATTCGCACTCACGAGTCTCGATCAATACTGTGCACCACTTCCTTAAAAACGCATTACTTCTCATTTTATACAATGCTTTAATCTAGTGAATGTGCAAATTGACGTGAATTACAAGCTAACTGAAAACCCACCAAGGCCTTCCGCCTGCAGACTATAGATGGCGGGACACGAAAATTTCGCAAACGATACACCACTGCGAGGTCAGTCGTCCAATAAAAGCACAAGGACACTTTCAAAAAAAGTTGAACCTCCCAAAAACTTTCGCTGCTTACGAAAAACGATTTGTTTAATTACACTGCATAAAAACCCTAAGGATTGTCAAAAAATTAAAATGAAGCAATTCAGTAGGAGGGTGGGTTAATTGTGGCCGGATCTGAATCCCCGCAAATAGGCTAGCCATCTGTCAAAATAGATGTCCCAGAGTTTGGCGTGCTGGGGAGCGAGAACCGCAGACAGCTGATGAAGCTGAAGTAAGTGGACTCGGTGATATTGCCACCGTGCTCGATTTGGCCCGGCCTTGAGTACAGCCCGAAGCGTTCTATCCCATGGCTCAGCTCTGTGCTTTCCCTGCCACAGACGACCAATTTCGTGGGAGGCGTGATAGGAGTGAGCCAGATTCAGATGACGCAGGTCATAGAACGAGCCTGTTCCACTGTCATAGAGGGGCAGCACACGCACCAACGTGTTAATACCTTCATCAAATAGATGGGAGGCATTCGAGACGATGGTGGGATCGGCATTGCCCAAAGTAACCTTAAAATCGAAAGGGGGATAATAGGATGGCTCGAGATTAATAGTACAAAATGTCCGTAATAGCGAACGCAACCTGTTTTGATTCCGGTCATGGCAAAATTCTGACCACTGGGAGATGAGACAGCAATGTTATTGCCGGCAATTCACCTCTGCAAAGTTTAACTTCGTAACTAAATATTGGGTTGCGTGAGCGCATTAATTTGCTCAAGAAATTGGACTTTCCTAGGGCGCATTGACCGGTGCAAGTTTGACTGATATTTGTATTTGATTAATAATTTGCAAACAAGGAGGTTACTATTGGTCAGTAGTTTACCGACTAAAAAAGTTGGTTTCATAAACAACCAGACTGGTGTATTTATACCGAATCATTATCCCGACTTAAGTTATGCCTAAATGGAGCCAATAGACTTAAGCAGACCCGCACACAATGTCAAAGTCGGTAGATTTGAAAAAGGCAACCCACATACACCCACGTCTACGAAACAAAAAGATATCGAGTCTGCCAATTACCTGAGAAAGATCAAATAACCCGACAAGGGAGAAAATGAATCCGTTGAGAACAAATACCCCTGGAACTGCAGGATATTCCTCGTACCACGGTAAGTCGGATTGCCCAAGAAAATATGCCCTCACACCACAGGCGTCGGAGTGCTGGACGGGTCGAGTGAAGGGCTCCAGGGCACGCGAGGCCGCCTTTAGGAAACGTATCTCACCTGTCACGTTGAAGGCTCGAACCAAGAGAGAAATGCCCTGGCCTTAAAACCAATAAACACATATGTTGTCAAAACTGACCTTGCGATACTCCTCTTGGCCCTTGTAATGGTGGGATTGTGGGTTGTTGACTCAAGTCAACGAAAAAGACTAGATAGGATTTGGAAGGTATTGTTTGACAGCTCAAGTGAGGTTTGTTGTGGTTTTGGGAACACAGGGCCATGCGTGCTTGTAATTTGCAGGCGTGAAGCGGAGGTTATGGGTACGTGCTTAGACGTGTCCGGAAAAATGATGGTGTGGACGAGAAGGCACAAATTATTGAAAGTGACGTCCGGACACGAGTTAGCGAACGTGTTAGCAGAATGCTCTACGGTGTCTTCGGTCAAGGCAAGAAGTTGTGATAGATAGTGCAGGAACCAAGAGTGATTGGGCAACTAACCAATTAATAGTAGGCACAAAGCACAATGTGTCAATCGGAGCACACAGCGACCAATTTTGCTTATCAGATAGTACCAAAAGAACTGCGATAATATTCAATGTAATTGTTACTAGGTTCCTCAACGCGCGATACGTGAAGTCGGAAATTTTATTGATCAGTAAGACTTCCTTGATATGACACGCAATGTTTAAGTAGGAATGGGGCCAGGTCCTGCGTAAAACGAACAGAAACAGTATCACCGAGTGACCGAAGGGAGACGGCACCGATTTACCCTAAAGACGGTGCAACAAAAGGTTAACTAAAGAGACCTCAACAGATGAAAGTTGTTGAAGTGGGAGTTTTGTTTTCGCATAGCCGAGGACCAAAACTTCACCATTCACTCCATCAGTCACAAAAGCCGCATTCTCATATGAACAATTAATTCAGCCTCAATTCATCCGGTCAGGGTCATCGAGGAACACACAGGGTGGCCCGAATATCACCGAACCCTTATTATTGCGAAAATATTGCAAATGCAACAAAATATTGCTACCACTGAAGGGTTTCGTAGATTAATTATAAAAACTAGTTTACTCGGTGAAAATTTGCAACATATTTGTTACGTTTGCCCGTAACAAAGAGAAAACCACTCAAATAACGGCACCAGATCCCTTGTTGACGTTAGAACCGACCTTCCCACGCTAACATAAGAACAAGACCAGAGGTCGTGTAGAGAGCTTAAATCACGTCAGCCACGTGCGGAGTTGTCAAAAGTGAAAAAGCGTAATAAAACGCATGTTAGTGAATTAGCGTAAAGTGTGCCAAAACCAACGATGAGCAATCCTGGGGAATCCTGGATCCCCAACAATATTGGAACACTGCCCTCTTTTAGTTACTTTTACTTACATCTGGGCCGATTTCTGACATGTCACTCGGCCCTTCGGCTGAGACGCCAACAGCTCCCAGCACGAGATCATGCCATTGTCTCAGCACTCGGGGCCTTGCGCATTGGTTCTCTGGGCATGTGGTTTCGTTTCCTAGTTGAACATAACGCAATGCTATACGGCACAAAACGAAAGCCGACTTTGAGAGTACAAATTAGGGTCACCGAGGAGCAAGACTACTAGGAAGCATACTTGCGAAGTTTGAGAAAAGTAGGCCTTGCTACCCACCACACAAACCATGGTTGGCTAGACGAAGGAACATTTCGGCATTGCCTAGATCAGTGGAATGAGCAAATTACTAACCTGACAAATGTGACTTGATAAAACGGGTATCCAGCTTTCAATGATGAAAAAGCATACGCTGTTTTATCAGCAAATAATCAATTTAATAAAGAAACATACTTAACACAAGACTCACCTTGCCCCATTGCCGAACACCATCCCGGTTTAAGAAAAATCTCCCTCGTGAAGGTATGTTTAGCAGAAATTTTCCACGCGCCATCACGAGATTGGTTAATAACGAACCAATTAGCAACCGACATGAGACGCAACCAGGCGAACAATTTGTTCGCTTCAAGGTGACGTGAGATGGTGACTTCCTTCTCATTTTCTCCTCGGATCGGCACAAAAAGTACCAGGTCGTTTACGGTTCCGGCGGGCGTATCATTCCGTGTCGGAAACCGCAGTTCTACTGCAGTAACAGTAAAGCTGAAGTGAAAGCAATCACGATTATATTAACAAACGCAGGGTCTGTTAAGGTACAACAAATCTAGAAAGAGTATGGCATGAAAAGTCGGTTATCACCTAACTCTTTTCTAATTAATTACATTGAGGACTAATTTCGAGGGTCTATACAGCACTGACAGCAATTTTTACATATTTGCGTGGATGATCAAACGATCAGGCTATAAAATTGGTCAGTAGTTTTCCGAAAAGAAGATACAGCAGAATAGACAGCTCAAGCACTTTCTGTGACCGACTATTCGGCTGGGTACAGGGAAGGCCTGATTGGTAGGCCCACATTTTGAGCAGGATGGGAAATAGGCGCATCGCCCCTACACAAGTTTGCAATTATCACATACGCAGCTTACTTTCGATGCATCGAAGCGCTGTGGAGGATGCCAGCAAACCGACGTTTGACAGCAACAGATTTCTCACGATTGATGCTTTCAATTGCCTTTTTGAGAACCATGTCGAGATTTTGAGTGATTACAACACTATGGCAGTCCCTCACAAAGAAGACCACTTTCAGATCAACTGTTAGTACGTAACCCAAAGCCCAGTAGTTGTTGGTCTGGAATATAATAAAAGAGCGTTCAGCATGTCTGTAGCCCTCCTCTATAGTGAGAAATGAATGATGACCTACAACAACAGTACTGCCTTCGCCAAAGACATTGCTACAAGCAAAATGGATTTGAATACGTTGTTGTGTGGGCCAGGACACGGAACCATTAATTATTAGACGGGTTCCATGAGGCCAGTCAGTCCCCGTCACGAGAAGGGTGCTTAAACCTCGAGTCGATTCGGCCTCATCGAAGCTATAGACCATCGAACCTGAACTCTCGTCTAGAAGTGAAAGAAGGACGGATTTACTGAGAGAGGTTTGGTGAAGAACCAGTAACTCATATACTGTGGCTGTACAATGACTCCAGTAATTAGAGCGCTCACAAGTAGGGCTGACACAGTCCGGCGTAGTCGAAACGACGGCAACCGCAGTTGATTAAGACCAAGGGTAATCCCCAAATGAGTAAAACAGGTGCATTTTGAACCGCGCCGTGAAGTGGGGAAAGGTTCGGTAAGAGGTCTTATCAAAAGGGTTGACTACCACCCAACCCAGAAATTGACTCAAGAAAGTCCGAAGGTGGAACTTGAGCGACCACGTGGCGGCAATTTGGTTTCCGCGACGCGTGGACCACGCTTAAGTGGTCTGACCGCATCAGGTTTCCGGAGTATTGAGCAATCTGCCTACTAGAACACAGCACCCGGGGGATGTCCGTGACTCAGACAAATTGACTGTGTGCTAAGTCGGGGACGGGAAGACACCGGCTTGTAATATTTTGGCACCGATAGTGTAACGGCGCAACTTTTGCGTGACTAAGCTTCAAATTAGGACTTGAAAAAACTCCAGTCGTCAAGGCAAGTAACGACGCTTGAAGATACATGCCTACGCAAAGCAACGTAACAAGTCATGTGACTATTCGTAGTTTCCGTGACACCATTATGCAGGAAGAGACAGGTAATTTTGGTACTAAATGTTTGTGCTTAAATAATGTAAAATATCAATTTCGCGATTTTCGTGGCGCACTAGCAGGAACCCAAGTCAAGAATTAGAAAGCAACAGCTTTACGCACAAAATTTAAACGACAAAGACATAAAGCCTACCGAAATAGCAAGAATGGTCATTTGTGCGACAAATCCATTGAGCAGTTTCGGTGCCACCGAAGACGAGTTTCCTCTTAAAGTCGACAAGCACACGGTTGTTAGGTTTTTCAAGGGATAATTTTATTCCTTGAAGTCGAATGTACCGACTGTGGTAAGCGAAACCGAATTGGGCGATTTGAATCGGATAAGGATAGCCCCTTGGGTCCCACTGACGAGAAATAGGGATATCTGTGATAGTAAATTGTTGCTTTGAAAAGAGGAGCAGTACACAATGAAGAAACAGATGATTAAATTGATGTGATTCGCCATCACTTTAAAGCAGACGGGTACATGCGAGATGAGACCAATAAAAAAAACCAAACTAGCGATATACATCAACGAGAAAAGTACACGAATACATGACGGTACGCATCGAAGACCACTAAGTTAAAAGTGTTGCCTTACTGTGCTCCGCGTCCACCAAAAGAACGTGCGTTTTGGACTCAGGATTGGTCCAGTCAGATTGACCCATGTACTGTCTAAAAGGGCTGTGAACCTTGGTCGTCAAGTTCAAGGCCTCACGTTCACCGTCGTTCGACCAAAGGAAAATGCCATTTTGTGAGTCCAGTGAACCCTTGGCCTGCACACGATAAAGACAAGAACTGCACTCAAGTCCAATTTGGTGGCAGTCACGGTACGCGTAAATAGGTAAGGAATGCTTTGGTCTTATCAAAGCTTCAAATATATTCATTAGGTTTTCCATTATCTTTAGGAAATCAGTAAGTGATTCTACCTGAAAGCAAGGCTGCCTGCACTCACTCAAGTATGCATTTTTAAGCCTTCAAGGGGCATAATGATCTGGGGTTGACATAATGGTGTACATACGGACATAGCACAATTAATCCGCCACAGGATACATTACCAAAGTTCTCATTCGCACGCACGGACGATTCAAGGTAACACTCGGATTCATGAATTCAATTAGAGAAGCAGTAACTGGCCAAGTGTGAATTTTAGGCAGCATGGACACTGCAATCAAAAGTCGACATCAATAAAAAGAAATTTCAATCGGCACAAAAATAAAACAACTCACAAACGCTAATAGTACCATTCACCCCTACCTACAAGGCCAAATTCCACTTGTTGACATACTCTATCGCATGTTCTAAAAAATGACCCCTTCAGTTTACTGAATGTAAAAGCTATTAATGTAAATTCTGTTTACTTATATATAAGGCATGATTGGGCTTTTGTAATATTAAGGATTGGTTTTAGTAATCAGCAGATTTACAAGATACGTAAGGACATTTTGCACTTTTATTGGTAAAACAATGCAGGTCCTTGTTTGACAAGTCTCCGATTTTCAACTTGCCTTTATAAGACCGGAATTTGTGGTTTATTGACAAATTGACCTTTGCTCCGAACCATGTGAAAGCAATCATCTCAAAGTATTTCTAACTGACGCAAGATAGGTAATGAATCGGTAAGCTATTGGTCGCAAAGTAGCGACTTGGGCGCGTCAAGACATTTTGTACGACAGACATTCATTGTTGAGCAGGACAAGGCGTAGCACCAATCACCAGAGTGGGTGCAGCAGTTGAATTCAGGGAAAGCGATCAACTGGACCTGAGGTGAGTTCCTGGTGTTCGTCAAAAATGTTGCCGCAGCGAAACCAGCCCTTTGGGATTAATTAGCATATAGATTTATGGTTTGAGCACATTCTAGACAAGTGCATTTTAACCATGCAGCCCAAAGTTGAATTAGGCAAGTTGAGTAAGCATTAACGCGGGAACAACATGTGCAGCTCACCTCAGTTTCAGTATAAGCCCTAACAATTGCCAACTCACCTCGTACCAAAAATGTATGTGCTGAAAGTCAACAACAACAGTAGACTCGTTGAGTTGATAGCAGCCGGGACTGGAATAACCATATGCAGAACAAATTAGGGGCCTGATAGTTTCTTTAGGGTGTGAATTACAAGGATAATGAGAGGATTTGTTGACAGAGACCCTTCTTGGTGTTTTGATCCTAGAAAAAAAGGGAATACACCAACCGAAGTTCAAGGACTGCACTATGTCAATTGCTTGGCTTGATTACCTACCGACTTAATGCCAAGGTAGGACTTACCGTCAACGTATTCCCTGTGTCAACAATGGCACCAGAAAAACGGCACTACATATGCTGCGGCCGACTTACCTCCCTTGAGGCTGCAAGCAACGAGGTTGCACTACATTATTTTATGAAGCCTCTGCACGGCGATCGTGAGTGCCAATTAAAGCGCACTAATTAAGACAACTCAATAACCAGACGTCTTCTACGAGTGTGAAGTTTATGTGGTTACCTAATAATAATAATAATAAATCGATTTTGTTTTGTCTAATCTCTGATTTCACACATTTGTCATTGCAAGTTGCTTAAAATTTTGGTAATTTCGACAAAAAGCATAGCATTTAATTATGAAATTAGATTATCACATGAAAGCATCAGCAGAATAACGACTCATATGCACTAACACAACTTCTAACTATCTGAAAGGAATGAAAACTTCCGGTGAACTGGGACAGTATGGTCTTGGCAGCCGCAAGTAGGGAATGGAAGCTTGATTGAAAGTAAGCTTTTATAAAGGTTCCGCCCAAGTAATTGGTTTGCCCGGTTTTTACGAAGTCCGACACCACAACAAAAATTGTTAAGGAGCTCCGTGACAACTTCTGACTATATTTAGGAATTTTGCAGTTATCAAGAGGCGGAAAAAGATGCAAATCAGCTTGGCAGAAGAGATATCCTAAGATCTGACTAAGCCCATTCGTTAATATAACGAATAAATACATGTAATCATCTACGAGTATGGTCATTACATTTAGAAAAACCTATAAATAAAGCCACCACCGTGGAAGCGCCCCCAAATCAGCCAAGCCAAAAAAGGGCGCAACGATGGATGCACTTGACGGTTCAAGCAATGAACCACAACAGCGATTTCTGACATCGGACTCACACAAAATGCCACAGAAGAAACGATCAATTCTAGACGATTTTGGCAGAATCACCGCTATCTCGAAAAAAACAGATTCCTCCGCAATATGATAGGTGAAATATGCAATGATGCACCGCTTTCAGATGAAGCATAATTTTTGCAATAGGGCATTTGAAATAAAGTTTAATTGATGGAATGCATAGCTTGGTCCTACATTCACGAACAGAATTGAAGATTCCCTTATTGGGTCTACTGTTTGACCTTGGAATGTAATTAATTTCTCTGACTCTGATGTTAAAGTATTCATGTTCCGTTAGTTTGCACTGGTGGCTGACGGATTATTTCCTAATTAAAGGCTTTCATTTGAAGAAAATACAAGCCTTTAACAATTAGGCATGTCTTCAGTACCAAATTTCAGGTTAATAAATTACATTCACGCCATTTTTGTGACTTGCGCTTGTTTCTGGAGATCAATTTAAGCAGTATAAATCTTTGCAAACTCCTATACAGCTAATGAGACTGATTTGTATATAACATCAGCTAAGTTGATTCCCTCAAACCATCAATATCCTAGTAAACAAAGCGAAGACACATTGTTGGAAACTTAGCGACTAAATATTCCACAGGCGGGTTTCCAACAAAATTTATTTACATTTTTCTTATTTATGACTCAATCGATTAATGCTTATTTCAGCTCAAAAAGAGCAAATGGGATTTAATACAGAGGGAAAGTCTAACGCAGTTACAGGACTTTACGAAGTTGCATTATCATGTCTTTACACCGATTGCTATGTGTAATGTAGAGAAGACTTCAACTGCACATACCAACGTTGCGAGGGGGTGCGCTAAAGAACACTACATAACTAGAAACAGAATACTACACAATCCGTGCTTCGACACATCCCTTTAAACACATTGTGTGTCTGTAGGCTGGTAGTTTTGTTCGAGGCTTACCGGCGAAGCTAATCGCACAGTTGCTGCACCACATCGTCAACTCAAAAGTATTGTTAAGGTATACAAGGTACAGAATTACATTTGCAAGGGGATCGACAACCTGATCACTTACCATAAGTATTGGCTACTTTTGTAGAAACTCAAATACTCATGCAGACATAGAATCGCCACTATAAGAAGACAAAGAAAGCAAAGCCTCCGACTAAATCGCATTGAATCCCGTTTGTCCTATAAATGCAGCTACACAGCCTTCCCTAGCCTGGAAATATTACTGCAAATCTCAGAGAATAACATTAGCGGCAAGACGTTCAGTTTCTATAAAGTTAAGACAAAAGTCATGGGTTAAATGTGCAGGAGAACGATTTTTATTAATAATATATTAACATGAACACGTCAAAATTAAGAAAAAGGACAAATGATAACACAAAAAGATTATAAACAGCCTTTGCATTTACTTTCATTCTCTCGTACATCAGCTAATAAAACGCAGTAATTCACCACAAAACCAACTGTGTGCAAAAAGGTATTTAATTCTAACATTTTTAAGCTCAAAAATATTGCACAAGGGAACAGTACAATATCAAAACCAAGCTGCGAAAAACATCGAAAATTATGTGCGAAATTTACCAGCGACAATAAGGAAATATCGCAAACTGCTGTGTAGTGTCGTGTGGCGTTGGGTGTGTGGTGTGGCGTCGGATTAGGGCGCAGACATGTTAGACCACCTGACCTCAGCCAC